GTGGACAGAGGAGATGGTGCTGGGAGGAGGGTGGATCAACAGTGACCATGGACAGAGGAGATGGTGCTGAGAGGGGAGTGGATCAACAGTGACCATGGATAAGGGAGAGGGTGCTGGGAGGGAGGGTGGGCAGAGGAGAGGGTGCTGGGAGGGAGGGTGGATCAACAGTGACCATGGACAGCGCAGACAGTGCTGGGAGGGAGGGTGGACAGAGGAGGTGGTGCTTGGAGGGTATGGATCCACAGTGACCATAGACAGAGGAGGTGGGTTGGAAAATGTGGCATGATTCACTCAGTAGAGCTAGACTATTTCCTGCCCCCCCAGGAGCAATCACTTACCTGAAGTTAAGTGATCACGTGTCAGGGTGAACAATGCTCTGTGGTTAGACACTGGAGTTTTACAAGTGGAAACTCTGAGGGGATTACAGCAAATCAAGTTTTAAACCCAGGGATCAAGGTGAAGGGGGTGGCATGTTGGAGATTCCATTATGGGCTTGGGATGAGATGGGAGCTGAGGGTGCTGCAGGTGTGACCTGGGCAGGACAGAGTTCACAGGCCAGCAGGTGAATGACAGAGCTCTGGGGCACCCATGTGAGACTGAAATGGAGAGGCAGTGAAGGAATCTGCTGTAAATGGGAGGTGTGGCAACTGGGCATCACCAGGAGGGTCTGGGAGCAAGTGTGTGGAACATACGGGGTGGAGTCGGATGACGGCCAGCTCATGGCTATGATTCAAGCTGGCCTCCAGTCCATCTCCTATAGGAGTGTCGCCTTCATTCTGATGGTTTTATACCAGGTGGGAGGGAGCAGCTGCTCAGCGTGGGAACGAGTGGGCCCAAGAGGCTTTGCTGATCGACAGGTGATGGCGTCATCTGCTGCTAATGCCAACCCAGAACTGTGAGCATGGCAGGGCTGGTGGCCTGTTTGGGCCTACAGGGTCCTCTGGGCAGGGGGTGGAGCCAGTCGAGCTAGTATCCACCCAGGCCCCTGCTGTCACTGAGCTTCTGACAGGCACATTCTCCTTAAGGCTTGCTCAATGAGTGAGTCAGCTCAGAGCCCACCCAAGCCCGGCCCTGGCAGCATAGCTGTGCTGTGTCTTCTGAGTTAGGAGGTAGTGGGGGTGGAGTGGCGGGCGTCCTCTGTCAGCAGCTCCCCTCCCTATTGTGGCCTGAAGAGCTGGGTGTCTCCTGCTGTAGTTGACGGTGGAGGTAAGCAGGGAGCCTTTGTTACCTGGGCCAACAGGGAGGAGACTTTCCCAGGCCTCTGTAGAGGGAAAGGGCTGAGATGGTGGCAGGAAATCTGGTGCCATGGGCACCACCCCCTACTGGGTCCCCTCCCCCCAGGGTCACCTGCAGGGCACCATCCCTCTCTGTGGTGTCCAGGCCAGGGGGAGATTGGGGGCTCCTGAGGGGCCATGCAGAGTATATTGTGTTTGTGAGCCTTAGGGCCATAAGAACAGCCTTGCCTGGATCTGTGATAAAGCTGGCTTTCGGGCTACACAGCCTCATCCTGGCTTTGTCTTAGGCAAGTGGGCATCTACCCCTGCATTCGAGGCCATCACAGGCTACGCTGCTGGACCCTCCCGATGTATGCTGACATGGCCACAGCCACCAGGGATGAACTGCAGAGAGCTAGAGTTGCATGGTGTTCATGGCTGGCAGCCTTGTGCTTGCTGGCTCTGTCTGGGTGGGGGAGGCAGCTTTACTCCTGGGAGCCCAGCCCCTTGGGTGTCTGAGGCTTGAGGCTACGCCTGTGGTAGGGGATGCCCTGTGTGATAGCAGAGCCATTTCTGGTGCTCCCCTGCTCCATGCACTTGCTCCCCTCAGCCCTGGAGCTGCAGATGTAATGTGGTGATTTCCCACCATTGGCACCTAGGAAATGTCATAGATCAGTAGTCTTAGAAATATCTCTAGCAAGGGTTGTGCCTCTGCAGTTAGAGGTGGAGTCACTCAGCATGCTGGATGGGTGCTGCCTTCAGGATGGACATTGCACAGCAGGGAGGCTCTTGCATCTGCGTTGGTGTGGCCAGGGGTCGGGTGAACACCACCCTATTCCCAGGATATTGGCACCCTGTTTGTTGTGAGTGCTCCTGAGGGGCCACTTCCTGGAAAAGGGGCACAAAAGGGGCTGCTCTGTGGTGTGTAATGCCCTCTGAGTACCTGGAAGGTTGGGCTGGGGCAAGGCCTTGGTCTGTTGAGGGAGGTCAGTTTTCAGATGCTTGGGCAGTGGGGTGATATCTCACACAGAGAAGGCCCCAGGCCTCACAGGCTTCTGGAGGAAGCTAGGCTGCCACCTACACTTCTGCCCAGGGCAGTGTGGGCCCCTTGTGCCCACCATTCCTGCCTGCACCTCAGCTGGCTGCTGGAGAGATGGGTGCAGGTGTGAGTCTGTGGTGGTCAGGCCTGAGGGAGGTTTTTGGTGCCTTCCTTGCCGAATCTGTGCTCCCAGGTCCCCACTGGCATGGTAGTGGAATGCAGGGGGGAGTCAGACGCTGCCTAGGCCCTGGACCAGGACAGCAGCACCTCATGAGTGATCACTAGGTGGTGCTCTGTCAGCAGGAAAGCACCCCTTAGGCTGGAAAGCTTTCCCCTTACGCATGGAGGACAGGAGAGGACTCTGGTCATCTTCTGGCCATCGACAGCAGGCTTTTCTTGCGCTACCTGTGGCAGGGTCTGACCACCAGCCAGGTTCATGGGGCTGTAGGCACAGCATTGCCATGGCCTTGTGTTTTCCTGCTGATCAGTGCTCTGGACTCACACACCCTAACCTAAAGGTCGCATAGGTCCTGGACACTTGGGGTTGGAGACCTTCTGGCCCGTGTGGCTTCTTACCAGTGAGGCCCTTCAGAAAATGAACCTGCTCACAGGCCAGTCAGAGCACCGCGGCTCAACTGTGGCAGTGTATTAGCTGCAAACTGTTCAACAGTGCAAGACTCTGTCATGGACAGCTGGATCTTGGACAACCTTTGCCAGTGTGCTGCTGGCCAGGCTGGGTGCCACAGCCTTCATGGTCTGAGGCCCTGGCATGAGCCCCCTCCAGTGCTCTGTGCAGCTCATCGACTCCCAAGTGTGTCTCTACCCCAGCCTCATGTCTGTGACCCTGGCCACTTGGAGTTCCCTCTGGGTCCTTGGTCAGCGACAGCAGCCACCCAGGGAAGATAGGAGAAAAGGGGTGGGTTCTGGGCTTCTGCTGAGTGGGTGCTATTGGAGGGCATGTCTGAGGACCACTCCTGGGGAATAAGGTTAGATACCTGTTTCCCTGGCTGCGACTAGCAGGCTGGCAGCACCCGGGTACCATACAGGCCACACAACCCCTTCACTCAGGAAGAATGCACACCACTGTGTCTTCACATACTTGGTGATCACACTGGCACAGGCAGCTGTCCCAGGAGGTGTTGGTGCTGCGGGCCATGCCTATCCCACGTGGCCCACAGGCTCTCGGTCAGCCAGGCCCCTGTTATGATAGTGGGGACAGGTGGAGGTGAAAAGCCCACCCTATGTCTGGGGATGACCCACCAAAGGGCACACTGGCACCATTCCTTGGGGTTCCGGCACTCTGACACTTCACACTGATGCACTAGGACTCACGTGTCCCTGCCCACACAGGTGTAGGTGGGAACACACCTTCCATGCCTCACCCTCTAGCACCGCCTAGGCTTGATGGCTCACTTGTCCAGGTGGAGGCTGAGGTAGGGCCATGCACGTGCGAGGGGACAGCTGCTGCTCCCAGACTCTGAGTTGCCCATAGGAATGGCAGCTCAGGTCCTGCTTTCCTAGCCTGTGGCCAAACACTGACCTTGTGTTTCTCTTCATTGATAGGGCAGGTTAGAAAAATCCAAGGCTGGGGGTCTGTGGGAGCAGCTACACTTTGCTAGGCTTTAGGAAGGGGTCGCTTTAGCCCAGAACTCACCATCAGGGCTTGTAGTGTGTGGACCTCCAGGCCTGCCCCAGGAGCTGCCCACTGGGTTTCCCTTGGGAGAGACAGGACAGAATCATCTTGGGGGTCCTGGCCCCTGTCTTTCCCACAGGCCTCTACGATGCTTGGTGGCAAGATGGGGTGAAGGTGCCGCCCCTGTTCCTGCAGCCTGGGACAGGCAGATGAGTCCCTGGTGCGGCCGGGCCGGACTCCCTCCAGGGCGCCGCGTGAGGACGGGCGCCAGGGACCCTGCTCTGCAGCTAGGAGCCGAGAGCGCGCGCGCGCGTGTGCGCCCCCGCGGCCCGCTCCGCTGCGGAGACTGCGCCGCGCCGCCAACTGCGCCCGCCCAGCTATTCAGCTCTTTTGGCCAGGGCGACCCCTCCTCCGGCCTCTGCAGAGGCGGCAGCTACCCCGTCATCGGGCATCCGCCTCCGCGCGCAGGAGCCGCCCCCGCCACGCGCACGGTGCACCTCTGCGTTGCGCTCGCCCTCGCCCGCCGCCTCTGCGCCCGCGCGGGAGAGAGGCGCCGCCAGCACGGAAGGGAGGGCGGAGGAGGGGAGTCTAGTCCTCCGGCTCGGGCTGCACCTGTTTCTCCGGGCTGGGAGGTCCCGGCCCGGCTGCCTTGCGCGAGAGGCAGGAGCGGCTGCCCGGCTTCGCTGACTCTGGACACGACTCAACTTGTCTCTCAAGCGCAGGGGTCGGGAAGGCAAGCGGTCGTCACTCTCCGGTGGGATCAACCCCTTATTTGGATATTTGGGCGTTGCAGTCGCGCAGGATCCTCAGCGGCACGCTCCTTCCCAGCCTCGCCAACCTTCGCATGCGTCGGCTCTTGCAGCCGCAGCACCGAGCCTCGGCAGTGGAATTTCTTGGATGGACTCGCCCTAGCCGCGGCCTCGGCTTTTCCTTTTCCAAGTTCTTTTGTTTTCGCCCCTCCCCCACCGCACTCGCCCCTCTCGCTGACCGGCTCCGCACCAGCCCTAGCCGAGCAGGTGCTGAGCACAGTCCACCCCGCGCGCCCAGCTTCTGCCCAAGCCCCACACGCCATCCGCGCTCTTAGTGCGCTCCGGAGCGACAGCCGGTGTTCGACGGCGGGCAGTGGGGCTTCAGGAGCCTGGGCCGCGCGTTCCTCCCTGCCTGCGCCGGCCGCAGTCACCTGTGTGTCTCTTGTGTTTGAACTTCAGGATGGCTCGTTTTGGGGAGGCAGCCGTCGGCAGGCCTGGCTCCGGCGAGGGAGACTCCGACCAGAGCAGGAACCGGCCAGAAACGCCTGTGCCAGCCTCGGGTTCTGCGGCCGCCTACAAGCAGTCGAAAGCGCAGAGGGCGCGCACTATGGCCCTGTACAACCCGATCCCCGTCCGTCAAAACTGCTTCACGGTGAACAGATCCCTGTTTATCTTTGGCGAGGACAACGTTGTCAGGAAGTACGCCAAGAAGCTCATCGACTGGCCATATCCTTTCTCCACTCCCCACCCCAGCCCTGCCCCAGCCCTGCCCCAAGCCCTTCCTCCCCTGGGAGGAACCTCTGGTGGGGAATGCGTTGCCCACCTGTTCTGGGGCTCCAGCCTTCGCTCTTGGTGGGAGCTGCATCTCAGGGCCAACTAGGCTGTTGGGACGACGGGGCCTTAGTGTTGCTCAAGGTAAGACTTTGCTTGCTCTGTGTGTAGACCTGCAGTGTCCTGGGAGCTGCCCCTTGCTGGGCTCACTGCCTCACCTCCTTCCAGGTTGTCTGTCCCCCAGCTTGGGTGAGCACTCTCACAAGGTTTTCTTGGATGATCAGCGTTTCTTTTCCTGCCTCTGAGGCAGTGCCTCTCAATCCCTTTCAGCTGGAGCAGGAGACACCTGTGCTGCCTGAGGCAGGTGGGGGAGGGTAGGGGTGTCGTCTGGCTGGCCTGCAGCCCTGAGCACTGCACAGGTGGAGTCCAAGTTTGGGATGACCAGGAAGAAAGAAGTGCAGTGGCTGGGGGAGTGTGCTTCTTGGTGCATTGGCCCCCCTCCCCTTAGCCTTGGGTTTGGTCCCCTGCCCTTAAGGACCCTGGCTGATGTCCCCAAGCCCAGGGGCCAGGTTGAGCTGCCAGCTTGCGTTTGCCAGGAGAGGGTGAGGGGTGAAGCCTGCCTATCTACAGCTGCTGGTGGAGAGCTGGTGGGGTGTCTGAGGGAGGGGCCCACAGAACTCTTCCCTGCAGGCTTGGCCAGGTGTGTCTGGGGTAGGTGCTCTTAACTAAGAATCATGCTAGGGCTTGGGGATGCAGAGGAAAGTGATGGGGTGGAGTGGTGTTAAAGATAGTGTGGCAGGGGGCCAAGTAGGGAGGATTCTTGCAAACAGCCCTGCCAGGAGACCCCTCCTCACATCCCCTCAGACCCTGACCTTCCCCTGGTCTCCTGGGTCTCAGGTGTCAGCCAGGCACATGGCTTGCTTTCCCAGGGCCTGGGCACCTCCTTCCCTCCCCCATCCCCTTCCCACCCTGGCCTTCCCTCCTTCCCTCCTCCATGGCTCCCTGTTCCAGCTGCATGGTGATTGGCTGACGCCTGGTGCTTCCAGGGAACATCTCTACGCAGATCTCCCTGCTGCGGAGTGCACCCTCCCACCCTCCTGCCGCCACCCTGCAGTGCCTCAGTCTCATGTAGGTTGGGGGCTCCCTGGGGGAAGGGGAACAGGGGAGAGATTGGCACCTGCAGTCATGCCTGCTGCCCCCACAGGGCAGAGCTCCCCTTCCTGAGCCCTACCCTGGTGGAGATCTGCCATTCTCCCAGCTTCCCTCCTCCCCTCCTCTGTGTTGCCCTTCCCCCTCCCCCCACGCCTCCAGACAAGTTCCTTACAGAGGGTTACTTGGGTGGCCAGGGTGCAGCCGCTATAAGCACCTGGGACAGTGCTGCAGGCTGGCCAGGAGCCTCCGCAGGGGCTCCTGGGAGGCGGGCTGCTCCTTCCTGCTGTAGCGCCACTAGCCTTGAGACTTGCTCCTTCCTGTCTTGTGTCTGGAGAGGCCTCGGAGGGGCTGGCCTAGGCTCTGTGCTCAGGGACTTCGGCAGAGGTGATCCATGGCAGGGCCTGTTACAGTTCTGCAGCGTGGGAAATATGTAGTCAGTTGGGATTGTGTTCCGTCTGGAAGTGACCGCCTGCAAACACACGTGGCTGTTGCCTTTGCTCTTCCCCAGAAGTACATCCCGGTTCCTATGCCCACCACTGGCCTTCCTAACCTCTGGCCGCCTAAAGTGTCTTGCATTTTCTCCCTGGCTCAGACACTGGCTCCTTGCCACCATCTGTGAAATGAGGGTGACCCTGAGCCCCTGGGAGAATTGGATGAGTTAATGTACAACAACGAGCAGTGGGGAGCTGTTCTTCTGCCAGGGTCCATTTGAGTATGTATGACATCATCATGGGCCTCATGAAGAGATCATCCATTTGAGCATGTATGACATCATCGTGGGCTGCTTGAAAGAGCAGCTTGGAAATTAGCCTGCTGTTGATGTACTGACTTTGAGTCCTGCCCATGCTAGCTAGCCTTGGCATGGCCAGGCCAAAGAATGGCACAGGCCTCATACGCCCATGTGCTGGACACTCTCCACCCCTGCTTGAGAGCAGTACCCAGCCACCAGGCATCTGCTGGCATCAGGATCAGAGTCCTTCTGAAGCGGCAGCGCCCTGGAGGGAGGGGTCAGAGAGGCTAGAATTGGCATCGCTCAGTGTCCAGGTCCTGAGCCCACCCCCAGACTGAGGAGTCAGACTGTGTTTCCATGAAGTCCCTAGATGTTGGCGGATAGGCTGCAGTGTAGGCAGCTCTTCCTCCCTGCTCTTTGTGAGCCCAGGGATGTGGGCCTGACCTTGGTGCACACCTGAACATGGGTGGTGGCTTGTGGGTTGGCTTTGCCTGCAGCTTTGATTGCATTTGAGACTCAGGCTCACAGCTTGTAGAGGCTGCTGTGGCCCCAAACCTCCTGAGACCAGGGACTGGGAACCAAGCATGGGGAGAATGTGTCCTCTGTATTCTGGCCTGTGCCTCCTCTAACTATGTGGGTCTGAAAAGATGCGTGAAGTACAGGAATAATGTAGGTGATGCTTTGTAAGGCTGGCCCTGTAGTTATGTGTAGGGTAGCATGGGTCTTACAGCAAGAAATGCCCAGGGTAGGTAGCCTGCATTATCAGGCCCGCAGTCCGCTCCAAAGGAGTTTCAGTTTTCTTGGAAGCTGCATCTGCCTGGGGAGGTGATTTTATTCTCTTGTGCTGCTCTTTGCTGCAGTGGGCACCGTAACCTACTAGAACATGCTCCTCTGACTTAAAATGTGGTATTACTTTTGTTTCTGTTCCCTTGTTTCTTGCTCAACTGGTGGGTCCAAAGGAAGGACTTTCTCCCCAGGCAGCATGTGGTCAGGCACTGTCCCCATTGTCACTGGTGTGAGCTTTCCCCAGTTTTCCTGGTGTCTGTGTTCTCACATAGTGACCTTGTGGACTTGGGCCTTTCTGAGCAGGTAGCAGAAGGGGAGTATCCTGTAGGTGAGTCTAGGCCATGTCCCATTGGGTCCTCCCAGCTGGAAGCAGGAGCACCATGTGGAAATGCAGCTGAGTTTATAGCCTCGAGTGGACCCCATGCGGACCACTTGTTGCAGAGTTTCCTCATGGTCCTGGGGTCGGAGGGGGATGTGTCTTGTGTGGAAGGCCAATCATGGAGGATTTGGGTGGCAAGTACTGGGAGTCTCAGTTCCCAGAGCTTCCATTTGGACCCTGTCTTCTCCTATGTTGGCTGTCTCTGAACACACAGAAGCTTGCAGGACTACAGCCAGGTGCTGGTAAGGATTTGAGGTGGCTCCCGAGGGCCGTAAGTCAGGCTGCCTTGGACAGATGGGTCCAGAAACTCTCTTTGTGTTCCCTGTGTCCCGGGTCATGGCCCATTGTGGGCAGCTGGCACCCACAACTGCATCTGCTGGGGCTCCTGGGACAGCCTCCTGTCACGTGGCTTAAGATCTTTGCAGTCAGGGTGCAGCTTGGGAGGCAAGCTGGAGACAAATCTTTGGGATAGGTGTTTTCCCCTGTGCCCACAGTAGATGCTAGGAGAGGGGTAATAAGAATAGGCTTATTCTGTCCTTTGAAAGATCCACATTCTGTAATTACTGGCTCCATCCAGAATCACTCACATCTTTGCAGCTGTTGCTGCACAAAATCAGGGTGTTTCTGCTGCTTGCTTTTACTCTGTAGAATCCCCTCATTCTGTTTAATCTTCACGGTCATAGTTGGAATAGAGCTGGACCAGGGCTTGCTAACTGGCCACATTGGAGCAGCACCTGCATCTCCCTGTGCTATGTGATGGCTGAGCTCACCTGCCTATGGGTCCTTGAGCGGTCACACCACAGCCACATGACAAAAAATGAGAGACCTAGGCAGGCCTGGCCCTGCATTTGCCATCTACCACCTTTCATCACACTCCCCAGATTCCCTTTTGTTGTGAATAATGCATCACACACATGGGACTCCTGGGCAGTCAGGAGGGAAAGGTTGTCTGTCTGCCCCTGGGGTGAGACCTTATGTATCTTTTTCTCAGGTTCTTTGGGCTGGGAGACACAGCTACTTCTTGCCTGACATCCTTGGTCTCCTCACTGAGGGAGTGGCCGTTGTCCCTGCTCCAAGGACTAACTCAGTAAAGTAGAAGGCCCTATCTGGTTCTCATACAGGGGAAGGATGACCCACTGAGTTGAGAAGGGGCTCTGTACTCCTCTCTTTCCAGTGGGCATTCGGGATTGTTGGAAAGTGGTTGCAGGAAGTAGGCCCCCAAATTAGTGTGCTGACCTGCCTCCACCCAGTGTGGCAGGGCTGCCAGGCTTGGCGCAGCACACAGTGCAACATCAGGGTTTTTTTTTTTTTAAACTTTTTGAAGATTTATTCCTTATTTATTTGAAAACCAGAGTTGTAGAGAGAGGGAGAAGTAGAGGGAGAACTTCCATCCACTGGTTCACTCTGCAAATGGCTATAACAGCTGAGGCTGGCTTGGCCAGACTGATGCCAGGAGCCTGGCACTCCATCCGAGTCTCCCACGTGGGTGCAGGGGCCCAAGGACATGAGCCATCCTGATGTTTTCCAGGTGCCTTAATAGGAACTGGATGCCCATGTGGAATGGGCCACTCTCGTGGGCCAGCCCCTCAGCATCAGTGTTGGACCAGAAGAGACAGTGTGGGTCTGGTATACGCCGGGCTCCATAGGCAGAAACTTCTGGGCCTGTGCTGTGATAGGACTGAAAGGGGTTTTCGTAAGCTTCCATGTCCTGAACCTTGGCCAGTCTTTGAGCTTGGAACGTCCCTGTCTCTGGGAATTGTGCTCGGGCAGGCTTGGGGACAGTGGAGCTGAAGCAGGGAGTGCTCATCATTCCAGATATCCTGGCAGAGCAGGGGATCTGGCTTGAGAGGGGCTCCTTGTACTTTAAGCTCTACGTTTGTGGAGCAGACGGGATCGTGAGCAAGTATA